GATGAGATTCTTTAATAATTATTTTATGATGTTTATTGAATCTAAATTATAGGAAACTGTTTCCAGCCATGACAAAATACTAGTACTAAATACTAAATACTAGTACAAAATACCATGACAAGATACTGGTACTCAAATATAAATTGAACAAAATATTGGGCAGCAGGAGGTGTAAGACTGTGGCCCTTGACAGAAAGCAAAATCATGGATGCAGCAAGACTCTTGGCTTTTCCTAGCCTTGAATTGGTGAGAATTTCCTGACCACAGCAGGGTGTAGAAATCCTGGTAGCGAAAGACAAAATCGCTCTGAGCTGAGGAAACACAGGTTAGGGTTTAAGCTGCCGGGGTGGCTGGAGTTGCAAGGAAATGCCCAGAGAGGCAGACAGCGCAGAGAACCAAGCCAGATATCCAGGAGGGATCCCCAGAACTTCCTTGCCGCGCAGGGGCTGGGCAAGTGCTGAGGCTTTAGTGGGCATTCTGGAGAGTAGATGCCATAGGCTGAAAGCAGATCTGAGACACTAGAGTCCAGGAAGTCTAGGGGACCACAGAGTTCTCTCTGAGCCAGACTGGAGACACCTCATCTACACTCCAAGTATCCAGCTGAGATAACAAAAGGATATGCTGCATGAGCAAAGCCTCCCGAGGGCTGGGATTACAAGTGTGCGTCTCCGCATCTGGCCTTATAATACATTTATAAAAATTTACAGCTCAAAGAAGTCACAGTGGAACTAGAAAACACTTAGAACTGAAACCAATGGAAAATATAACTTGTCAAAATTTGGCAAAGAAAATAAAGCAGTGATTTAAGGCACTCATATTGTACTACAGAGCAGAATTAGTTTATCTTCAAAAGACACAAGACAAGTCGAAGAAAGCTAAGCTGATAATTAAAAGAAAATTGAGAACAGAAAAAGCAATTAAGTAAGAATAAAATAATAGAAAAAAAGTCAAAAATTCATTCCTTGAAAAATTATTAGTTGATAGAATTCCTAGCAAAATTGATCAAAATAAAAGAGAAAATATACAAATTACTATTTTCAGGATGAAAACTATATTCTCTCCAGACAATTAAAAGAATAGACTACATATGATTAAAAATAGTGCAAAAAATTTGGCAACCTAGGCATAATACATCAATTCTCTCACAAATTGCCATGGGGGGGGGGGACATACAAAGCCTCCATAAATTCTATCAATCAAAAGTTTGGAAGTTTTATTTTAAAATGTCCCCATAAGAAATAGCTATAGGCTCAAATAACTTCATAATGCAATTCAATCAATTAAGCAAATGTGCATATTAAACAAACTAAGGAAACTAAGGAGGCAACACTTCCTACTTCATTTTAAAAAAACAAATGTCCCTAAGATCAAAGACATAAAAAAAATCCCTACAGATAAATATCAAACATAGACACAAAGTCCTCTTTAAAATTTTAGCTTAAGGGCAGCCAGATAGCTCAGCAGACTAAAGCGCCTGCTGAGGCAGAGCAGG